CAGCAGGCACCGAAGGTGGTGCTGCTGCAGCAGCAGCAGCAGCAGCAGCTGCTGCTGCTGCTGCTTGGCAGCGTGATTTGCTGCTGCTTTTTATGGTCTTGTTTGAAATACAGTGTAAAGATAAACCCTCAGCTGCAACAGCAGCAACAGCAGCAGCAGCAGCAACAGCAGCAGCAGCAGCAGCAGGTGTGCAGAAACCTGAGGTGTATAGACAGCTAAGGAGACAGAAACAGAAAGAGAGATAGAAATAGATAGAGATAGAGATAGAAGGAGACAGAGAAAAATAAATAAAGATAGAGAGATAGATAAAAATAGATATATATAAACAGAGACAGAAAGGAGACAGAGACAGAGACAGAGACAGACTGAATATATATAAACAAATATAATAAAACAAACAGAAACATAAGGATATATATAAACAGAAACAGAAAGGAGACAGAGAAAACAAACAGAGACAGGGAGAAACAAACGGAGACAGAAAAAAAAGAGCAGCGAGAGAAAGACAAATAGAGAGACAGATAAAGACAAAGACAGCAGCAGCAGCAACGCGAGAGAAACATATATATACATATATACATATATATATATATATATATATATATAAACGAGAAAAACAACAAAGAGAGAGAGATGCAGAAACAAACAACAGCAGCAGCAGCAACTGAGACAGCAGAGAGATAGAGACAATCGAAGGCCTGGATAGGCCCACACACTGACCCACAGCAGCAGCAGCAAACAGCAGCAGCAGCAGCTGCAGCATGCTGCTGCAACAGCACACTGCAGCAGCGTGCTGCAGCAGCAGCAGTGTGCAGCAGCAGCAGCAGTGTAGGGCAGCAACAGCGTGCAGAAACAGCAGGGTGCTGCAGCAGCAGCGCGCAGAAGCAGCACCGTGCAGCAGCAGCAGCAGCAGCAGCAGCAGCAGCAGCACCCTGCAGCAGCAGCAGGACACTGCGGCAGCAGCAGCAGCACCCTGCAGCAGCAGCAGGACACTGCAGCAGAAGCAGCAGCCTGCAGCAGCAGCAGGACACTGCAGCAGCAGCAGCAGCACCCTGCAGCAGCAGCAGGACACTGCGGCAGCGGCAGCAGCAGCCTGCAGCAGCAGCAGGACACTGCAGCAGCAGCAGGATGTAAGTGTACTGGGGCGTCCCCGTTGCCGGCCCAGCAGCCTCAGTTGTTTTTGTTGTTGCTGCTGCTGCTGCACACTCTGCTGCCAGTGTTTGCTGCTGCTGTTTCAGCAGCGGCAGCATTTTGCTGCATCTGGAGCTGCTGCTGCTGCTGCTGCTGCAGCAGCAGCAGCAGCAGCAGCAGCAAACGACCCATAAGGCCAACGGTGAGGCTGAGGTGCAGCCAGCTGCAGCAGAACTCCCCAGCAGCCCGGGGGTCTGCAGCAGCAGATGCTGCCGCAGCAGCAGCAGCAGCAGTAGCGGCGGCTGCAGCAGCGGCAGCAGCAGCAGCCGCAGCAGCACTTGAGGCAGCTTGACTGAGGACAAGCCATCAGCAGCGAGTATGCTGCTGCTGCTGCTGCTGCTGCAGAGGCAGCACAGCGGTTGCCTTTTTTTATTTTCAACACAACTCCGTCCATCATAACAATTTAAAATATTCCTCGTTGCTTCTGCTGCTGCTGCTGCTGCTGCTGCTCTGGCGGTCGAGTCGGCGGCGCAGGCAGCAGCAGCAGCAGCAGCAGCAGCAGTAGCTGCAGCAACGGCAGCGGGGCCCCTCTGCTCTCCGCCGTGCTGCAGCAAGGGGGCCCCTGCCTTTTCCTGCAGCAGCAACAGCAGCAGCAAATAAAAAAATAATAAAAATGAAGAAAAGAGTGTAGGCTTCTGAGCTTAACAAGCCGGGATGACCGACTGTGGGGCCCCGCAGCAGCAACAGCAGCAGCAGCAGCAGCAGCAGCAGCAGCATCGATCCTCACCGAGGCAGTCTCAGCTCGGCTTCTGCTGCTGAAATTTCTTCTGTAAGAGTCCTGCTGTGAGGCACAAAGTCCTGCTGTGAGGCACAAGAGCAGGAGGAGCTGCAGCAGCAGCAGCAGCCACGGCAGCAGCAGCAGCAGCAGCAGCAGCTGCAGCAGCAGCAGCAGCAGCAGCAGCGCCGCGATGTCTGTGCATCGCAGGGGCGGCGCTGCAAGGGCAGAGCGGAGGCCCCCAGGGGGCGGCTCGGGGGCCCCCAGAAGTCTGAAGAGGCACCCTGCTGCCTTCAACAGCAGCAGCAGCAGCAGCAGCAGCAACAGCAACAGCAACAGCAGCAGCAGCAGCAACAAAAACAGCAACAAGAGTAGAAACTTCTCCTCTAGGGGACGAGGCGGGGGCCGGGGGCCCCCGAGTGACAAATTTGGTCATAGAAAAGGCAGCAGCAGCAACTCAAATGAGAGCAGCAAGGAGCAGCAGCAGCAGCAGCAGCAGCAGCAGCAGCAGCAGCAGCAACAGCAGCAACAACAACGGCGGCAGCAGCGGAACGAATCACATACACAGCCCTATGATGATGATACAATAAAGCAAGAGCGGCAGCAGCTGCAGCAGCAGGTGAAGGCGGCGCTGCAGCAGCAGCGAAGCAAAGACGCCTCAGCAAGGCGTTGGGATGACTGGCAGCAGCGGAAGCAGCAGAAGCAGCAGCAGCAGCAGCAGCAGCAGCAGTTTGGTAGCCGCGTTGCAGGGGATGCTGGGGGCCAAAGCGGCGCCATGAAGTTTGCTGCAGCAGCAGCAGCAGCAGCAGCAGGGAGTCCCTTTGTGGTTGCTTCGCGTTCTGATGCTGCAGTTGCAGCAGCAGCAGCAGCAGATGAGCTGCTGCAGCAGGAAGATGTGCTGCAGTGGCTAGACAGCTGGGGTAGAGGCCCCTGGCACGCAGCAACGAAGAGTGCAGAGAGCGCCATCATGGAGCTTCACATACCCAGCAGCAGCAGCAGCAGCAAAAACAGCAGCAGCAGCAGCAGCAGCAGCAGCAGCAGCAGCAGCAGTGTTGACTGGGCGCTGTGGGCTGCAGTAGCAGACAAGGCGNCAGCAGCAGCAGCAGCAGCAGCAGCAGCAGTGTTGACTGGGCGCTGTGGGCTGCAGTAGCAGACAAGGCGCTGCAGCACGTCACCAGGCGGCTGTATCTGCTGCTGGAGACAGACGCAGAGCAGCGGTGGATGCTAAAGAATGCGGGTTTGCTGCAGCAGCAGCGCAGCAAGCAGCAGCAGCAGCAGCAGCAGCAGCAGATGGGGGGACGGAGACAGTGGCGCAGCAGCAGCGCAGCAGCAGCAGCAGATGAGCAGCAAAAGGGCCCCACAAGAGCAGATGAAGTATCATCGCTGCTGCTGCTGACGCAGCAGTCTCCTATCTGCAGCAGCAGGTGCTTGCTGCGGCTGCTGCAGCTAGCTGCATCGAGAAGCAGATCTGCTGCGCATGCAGCAGCAGCACAACTCTTTGAGTTGTTTTCGGGGCCGCTGCTGCTGCCGTCCTTTAGGAAGCTGCAGGGTTTGCTGCAGCACCCGCAGTGGCTGCTCGATAGAGTGACAGAGCTGCTGCCGCTGCTGCAGCAGCAGCTGCAGCAGCTGCAGCAGCAAACACAGAACAACACGCAGCAGCAAACGCCGCAGAAAAAGAAAAAAAACACGTCCAAGCAGCTGCAGCAGCAGCAGCAGCAGCAGCAGGGTAAGAAAGACCCAGCCAGAGCTGCTGCTGTTGCTGTGCTGCAGCTGCTGCTGCT